CATTTTGGGGCCGTTTGGTGCCCCCCCTACCTGTGGAAGGTGTCGGGCAGCAGGTGGGGCCCCACCCCCATCGACTCCAGCACCTCCCGGCGCAGCCGCAGGAGCCGCTGGGAATCCTCGGATCCGCTGCCGGGACACGGATCCCGACCCTGCTCCGAGCGGAACCGCAGCAGAACTGTGGGAATAACACCGGGATCAGCATTGGATCCATTCCGGGACACGGATCCCGACCCTGCTCTGAGCGGAACCGCAGCAGAACTGTGGGAATAACACCGGGATCAGCATTGGATCCGCTCCCGGGACACGGATCCCGACCCTGCTCCGAGCAGAACCGCAGCAGAACTGTGGGAATAACACCGAATGACACCGGGATGAGCACTGGAATGACCATTCCGGGGACACGGATCCCGACCCTGCTCTGAGCGGAACCGCAGCAAAACTGTGGGAATAACACCGGGATCAGCATTGGATCCGCTCCCGGGACACGGATCCCGACCCTGCTCCGAGCGGAACCGCAGCAGAACTGTGGGAATAAAACTGGGATCACCCTGGGATCCATTCCTGGGACACGGATCCCGACCCTGCTCCGAGCGGAACCGCAGCAGAACTGTGGGAATAAAACTGGGATCACCCTGGGATCCATTCCCGGGACACGGATCCCGACCCTGCTCCGAGCGGAACCGCAGCAGAACTGTGGGAATAACACCGGGAATGACACCGGGAATGACACCGGGAATGACACCGGGACACGGATCCCGACCCTGCTCCGAGCGGAACCGCAGCAGAACTGTGGGAATGACACCGGGATCACCCTGGGATCCATTCCCAGGACACGGATCCCGCCCCTGCTCCGAGCGGAACCACAGCAGAACTGTGGGAATAACACTGGGATCAGCATTGGATCCATTCCCGGGACACGGATCCCGACCCTGCTCCGAGCGGAACCGCAGCAGAACTGTGGGAATAACACCGGGAATGACACCGGGAATAACACCGGGAATGACACCGGGAATGACACCGGGACACGGATCCCGACCCTGCTCCGAGCGGAACCGCAGCAGAACTGTGGGAATAACACCGGGAATAACACCGGGATCAGCATGGGATCCATTCCCAGTACATGGATCCCGACCCTGCTCCGAGCGGAACCGCAGCAGAACTGTGGGAATAACACCAGGAATGACACCGGGATCACCCTGGGATCCATTCCCGGGACACGGATCCCGACCCTGCTCCGAGCGGAACCGCAGCAGAACTGTGGGAAGAACACTGGGAATGACACCGGGAATGACACCGGGATCACCAACAGCAGAACAGGAACAATCCCACAAAAAAGTGAGACAATTCCACCCAAAATGGGACAATCCCACCAAAAAAACGGGACAATCCCACCCAAAAACAGGACGACCCCACAAAAAATGGGCCAATCCCACAAAAAAACAGGACAATCCCACCCAAAAATGGGACAATCCCAAGGGATCACCGAGCTCTTCCCAAGGGTAAACCCGGATTGCCCAAAGGAAGAGGGAAATTCCACCCAAGGAATTTTAGGAAAGGCCACAAAACTCCTCTCCAGGCCGTGGGGAAAAAGCGGGAAGGGAGGGGTTTTTCCCAGGAATTCACCTCGTGGAGCAGGAAGAAGTTGGGCTCTTCCCCAGGGAACACCCAGATAATCCGCAGTGGGAATGAAATTCCACCCAAGGAATTTTGGGAAGGGTGACAAAACTACCCCCAGGACACGGAAAAAGCGGGAAAGGAGGGGTTTTTTCCCCTGGGAATTCACAGGAATTCCTGGGGAAGGAAAAAACCCCTGGAAAAATTGGAGCAGGAAGAAGTCGGGCTCTTCCCCAGGGAACACCGAACTCTTCCCAAGGGAACACCCCGATAAACCCGCAGTGGGAATGAAATTCCACCCAAGGAATTTTGGGAAGGGGGACAGAACTCCCTCCAGGCCGTGGAAAAAGTGGGAAGGGAGGAGTTTTTTTCCCGGGAATTCACCTTGGAGCAGGAAGAAGTCGGGCTCTTCCCCAGGGAACACCGAACTCTTCCCAAGGGAACACCCCGATAAATCCGCAGTGGGAATGAAATTCCACCCAAGGAATTTTGGGAAGGGTGACAAAACTCTCTCCAGGCCATGGAAAAAGCGGGAAGGGAGGGTTTTTCCCAGGAATTCACAGGAATTCCTGGGGGGGAAAAAACCCCTGGAAAAATTGGAGCAGGAAGAAGTCGGGCTCTTCCCCAGAACTCTTCCCAAGGGAACACCCTGAAAACCCGCAGTGGGAATGAAATTCCACCCAAGGAATTTTGGGAAGGGGGACAGAACTCCCTCCAGGCCGTGGAAAAAGTGGGAAGGGAGGGGTTTTTTCCCCCCGGGAATTCATAGGAATTCCTGGGGGGGGAAAAACCCCTGGAAAAATTGGAGCAGGAAGAAGTCGGGTTCTTCCCCAGGGAACACCCAGATAATCCGCAGTGGGAATGAAATTCCAGCCAAGGAATTTTGGGAAGGGTGACAAAACTCCCCCCAGGACACGGAAAAAGCGGGAAAGGAGGGGTTTTTTTCCCGGGAATTCACAGGGAAAAAAACCCTGGAAAAATTGGAGCAGGAAGAAGTCGGGCTCTTCCCCAGAACTCTTCCCAAGGGAACACCCCGATAAACCCGCAGTGGGAATGAAATTCCACCCAAGGAATTTTGGGAAGGGGGACAGAACTCCCTCCAGGCCGTGGAAAAAGCGGGAAGGGGGTGTTTTTTTCCCGGGAATTCACCTTGGAGCAGGAAGTAGTCGGGCGCCGTCCGTCGCAGCGCGGCCGCCGCCTTCTCCCCACGCCACTCCACGGCCAGGGCTTCCCGCAGGGAGCAGAATTCCAGGCGCTGGGAATGCCGGGGGGGGATAAAAGGGGGGTTTTAGGGATGGAAGGAGAGAGGGATCAGCCCTGGAATTCCTATGGGAATGTTGGGGTTGGGATCCCTACCCAGGGAAAGGCAGGGGGGGTCATGGTGGGGGTTTGGGATTTGGGATTGAGAGATTTGGGATTTGGGAGAAGGGATGTGAAGGCTGGAGATGCCAGGACAAGAAGTTGGGAATTCTCCCAGTTCCAAGGCATAAAGGGTTGGGAATTCTCCCACTTCTATGTGGATGGGGAGCTGGAAATTCTCCCAGTTCCAAGGGGGTAAAGGATTGGGAATTCCCCCACTTCCACAGGGACAGGGAGCTGGGAATCCTCCCAATTCCATAAGGGCAAGGAGATGGGAATCCTCACACTTCCAAGGGAGTAAAGGAGCTGGGAATTCTCCTGCTTCCACAGGGACAAGAAACTGAGCATTCTCCCAAAAGGACAGGGAGCTGGGAATTCTCCCAGTTCCAAGGGGGTAAAGGGTTGGGAATTCTCCCGCTTCCACAGGGACGGGGAGCTGGGAATTCTCCCACTTCCAAGGGGGTAAAGGGTTGGGAATTCTCCCGCTTCCAAAGAAACAGGGAGCTGGGAATTCTCCCACTTCCAAGGGGGTAAAGGGTTGGGAATTCTCCCACTTCTATGTGGATGGGGAGCTGGGAATTCTCCCAGTTCCAAGGGGGTAAAGGGTTGGGAATTTTCCCACTTCCACAGGGACAGGGAGCTGGGAATCCTCCCAATTCCATAAGGGCAAGGAGATGGGAATCCTCACACTTCCAAGGGAGTAAAGAGCTGGGAATTCTCCCAGTTCCAAGGGGTGAAGGGTTGGGAATTCTCCTGCTTCCAAAGAAACAGAGAGCTGGGAATTCTCCCAGTTCCAAGGGGGTAAAGGGTTGGGAATTCTCCCGCTTCCACAGGGACGGGGAGCTGGGAATTCTCCCACTTCTATATGGATGGGGAGCTGGGAATTCTCCCAGTTCCAAGGGGGTAAAGGGTTGGGAATTCTCCTGCTTCCAAAGGGACAGGGAGCTGGGAATTCTCCCACTTCTATATGGATGGGGAGCTGGGAATTCTCCCAGTTCCAAGGGGGTAAAGGGTTGGGAATTCTCCCACTTCCAAAGGGACAGGGAGCTGGGAATCCTCCCAGTGCCCCAGGGACACAGCCCAGCCCTGCCGGGCTCTGGAATCCCAGACTCTCCTCCGGAGGAATTCCCGCCGGATCCGGGGCCGGGAAGCGACAGCTGCCGCCCTCGGCATCCGGGGACATTCCCAGGGACATTCCCGGCCGGATTCCGGGCCCCCCTTCCCAGGACCCCTCGAATCCACCAGCTCAGCACGTTCCCTGCAGCCCAAAGACCCCCCCCAGGGGGGGAAATTCCGCTCCCTCCGCCCCGGCGATTCCAGCCGGGAATTCCAGCGGCTTTTTAAGGGCCTATCCCGCTTTTTACAGGCCACATCCCAGTTTTCAGGGCTCTATCCCAGTTTTTAGGGGTCTCTCCCACTTTTCAAGGGCCTCTCCCCAGTTTTAGGGGCGTGTTCCAACTTTTAGGAGTCTATCCCAGTTTTTGAGGGTCCTTCCCTAGTTTTAGGGAAGTATTCCCATTTTTAGGGCTCTATCCCACTTTTTAGGGCTCTCTCCCAGTTTTTAGGGGTCTATCCCGGTTTTCAAGGGTCTTTCCCTAGTTTTAAGGGTGTATTCCCATTTTTAGGGGTCTATCCCAGTTTTTAAGGCTCTATCCCAGTTTTTGGGGGCCTCTCCTGGTTTCTAAGGGCTCTATCCCAGTTTTTAGGGGTCTAACCCCATTTCTAGGAGCCATATCCCTATTTTTGGAACCAGATCCCCATTTTCAGGGTCATACACCCATTTTCAGGGCCCACATCCCCATTTTTGGGACCAGATCCCCATTTTTGGGACCACATCCCCATTTTTAGGGGCCATATCCCCATTTCTAATAACTGTACCCCCATTTTTAGGAACCACATCCCCATCTTTCAGGGTCTCTCCCCGTTTCTGTCTCTCTCCCCCCAATTTTTGTGTCTCTCCCCATTTTTGGGGTGTCTCTCCTCGTTTTTGGGGTGCCATCTCCCCTTTTTTTAGGGTGTCTGTCCCTGTTTTTGGGGTGCATTTCCCCATTTTTTGGGTATCTCTCCCCATTTTTGAGGTGCATTTCCCCATTTTTGGGGTGTCTCTCCCCATTTTTGGGGTGCATTTCCCCATTTTTGGGTGTCTCTCCCCATTTTTGGGGTGTCTCTCCCCACTTTTTGGGGTGCATTTCCCCATTTTTTGGGTGTCTCTCCCTATTTCTGGGGTGTCTCTCCCCATTTTTGGGGTGCATTTCCCCATTTTTGGGCTGCCTCTCCCCGTTTTTGGGTTGCCTCTCCCTGTTTTTGGGCTGCCTCTCCCCATTTTTGGGGTCCATTTCCCTGTTTTTGGGGTGTCTCTCCCCATTTCTGGGGTGCATTTCCCCATTTTTGGGCTGCCTCTCCCTGTTTTTGGGCTGCCTCTCCCTGTTTTTGGGCTGCCTCTCCCTGTTTTTTGGCTGTCTCTCCCCATTTTTGGGGTGCATTTCCCCGTTTTTGGGGTCTCTCCCCGTTTTGGGGTCCATTTCCCCGTTTTTGGGGTCCATTCCCCCCCAGCCCTCACCTTTTTGACCATGGTGGTCTCAGCCGGCTCCACCCTGGCCCGCTTGGCCTCGGGCCCGTCCTCCACCCCCGAACTGCCCTTGGCCACCTTGGGCTTCTCCCTGGGGGAAACCACAGACACCAAATCCTGGGAATGCAGCCCCAAATCCCAGGATTCCGGGCCGGATTCCCCCCCTGGACTCACTCCACGAACTCGTGGTGGCCCAGGTCGGCGAACATGAAGCCGTGGTAGCCGAAAACGTCGCCGGCGAAGAACTTGACGCCGCTCTTGTGGCAGATCTGGTCGATCCTCACCATGGATTCCCGGGAGCAGCCGGTCAGGCACACCTGGAGGGGCGATTCCAGCCCTTATCCCTGCTCTCTCCGGGGTTTTTTTTGGGTTTGGGAGGGGAGGAACGGCCCCTGGAGGGTCGTGGAGTGAAGGGATGAGGCGCTCGGGGCAGGGGTTTGTTCTCCTCTCCTGGAATTCCAGGGGTTTAGGGGGTGTGGGAGGGAATTCTCAGGGAATTTTGGTGTTGGGAGGTGGATCCAGAGGGTTTTGTAGGTCTGGGATGGGTGGGAGTGAAGCAGGATTTGTGTTCTGGGGGGTTTAACGTTCCTGTTGATCCCAGCCCTGGGAGTGCTGCTTTTCCTGCTCGTTTTCTGGGATAATTCCACCCCAAAATGGGATCATTTCCCCCAAAAATGGGACAACCCCCTCACAAAACAGGATAATTCACCCCGAAGTGGAATAATCCTGCACCAAAACCAGGGCAATCCCACTCCAAAATGGGGCAATGCCACCCAGTCTGGGACAACCCCATTCAAAGCACAACAATCCCACACCAAGACGGGATAACCCTGTCACAAAACAGGATAATTCACTCCAAAATGGAATAATCCTGCCCCAAAAATGGGGCAATCCCACTCAAAGCAGGACAATCCTGCCCAAAAAATGGACCAGTCCCACCTCAAGATTGTACAATCTCGTCCCAAACTGGGACAATCCTGCCCCAAAAATGGGACAATCCCACTCAAAGCAGGACATTCCCACCCCAAACTGGGACAATCCCGCTCAAAGCAGGACAATCCTGCCCCAAAATGGGACAATTGTGGCCACCCCAAGATGGGACAATCTTGCCCAAAAATGGGACAATTCCGCCCCAAACTGGGACAATTCCGCCCCAAACTGGGACGATCCAGCCCCAAACTGGGACAATCCCACTCCAAGATGGGACAACCCCGCCCCAAACTGGGACAATCCCACCCCAAAATGGGACAATCTCACCCCAAAATGGGACAATCTCACCCCAAAATGGGACAATCCCACTCCAAAATGGGACAATCCCACCCCAAACTGGGACAATCCCACCCCAAAATGGGACAATCCCACTCCAAGACGGGACAACCCCGCCCCAAAATGGGGCAGTCTCACCCCAAACTGGGATGATCCCACTCCAAGACGGGACAACCCCGCCCCAAACTGGGACAGTCTCACCCCAAACTGGGATAATCCCACTCCAAGATGGGACAATCCCACCCCAAACTGGGACAATCCCACCCCAAACTGGGACAATCCCACCCCAAACTGGGACAATCTCACCCCAAAATGGGACAATCCCACTCCAAGACGGGACAACCCCGCCCCAAACTGGGACAGTCTCACCCCAAACTGGGATAATCCCACTCCAAGACGGGACAATCCCGCCCCAAACTGGGACAATCCCACCCAGTATGGGACAACCCCACACAAAGCAGGAAAACCCCACCCCAAACTGGGTCAATCCCGCCCCAAAATGGGATGATCCCGCCCCAAACTGGGACAATCCCGCCCCAAGCTGGGACAATCCAGCCCCAAACTGGGACAATCCCACTCCAAGATGGGACAATCCCGCCCCAAACTGGGACAATCCCACCCAGTATGGGACAACCCCACTCAAAGCAGGAAAACCCCACCCCAAACTGGGCCAATCCCTCCCCAAAATGGGCCGATCCTGCCCCAAACTGGGACAATCCCGCCCCAAACTGGGACAATCCAGCCCCAAACTGGGACAATCCAGCCCCAAGCTGGGACAATCCCGCCCCAAACTGGGACAATCCCGCCCCAAAATGGGATGATCCCACCCCAAACTGGGACAATCCCACCCAGTATGGGACAACCCCACTCAAAGCAGGAAAACCCCACCCCAAACTGGGCCAATCCCTCCCCAAAATGGGCCGATCCTGCCCCAAACTGGGACAATCCCGCCCCAAACTGGGACAATCCAGCCCCAAACTGAGACAATCCAGCCCCAAACTGGGACAATCCCACTCCAAGATGGGACAATCCCGCCCCAAACTGGGACAATCTCACCCAGTATGGGACAACCCCACTCAAAGCAGGAAAATCCCACCCCAAACTGGGCCAATCCCTCCCCAAAATGGGATGATCCCGCCCCAAACTGGGCCGATCCTGCCCCAAACTGGGACAATCCCACCCCAAAATGGGATGATCCCGCCCCAAACTGGGCCGACCCCGCCCCAAACTGGGACAGTCTCACCCCAAACTGGGATAATCCCACTCCAAGATGAGACAATCCCGCCCCAAACTGGGACAATCCCACCCAGTATGGGACAACCCCACTCAAAGCAGGAAAACCCCACCCCAAACTGGGCCAATCCCGCCCCAAAATGAGATGATCCTGCCCCAAACTGGGCCGACCCCGCCCCAAACTGGGCCGACCCCGCCCCAAACTGGGCCAAGCCTGCTCCCAGGAAGGGTCTGTACCGCGTCAAACTGGGTGAAGAACTCCTGGGGTTTGGAGTCGACGCTCTCGGGGTCGGCCTTGACCTCCACCATGGGATTGAGGCTCTGCGCCCGCTCCAGCGACGCCTCCGCACGGTTCCGGCCCTCCGAGCCCGCCGGGATCAGGAACTGGGCACCAGTGTCCTCCGGGGATACCTGGGATAATACAGGGATAATACATGGATACAGGGATCAGGAACTGGGCGCCAGTGTCCTCTGGGGATAGCTGGGAGACAGGGATACAGGGATACAGGGATACAGGGATCAGGAACTGCGCACCAGTGTCCTCTGGGGATAGCTGGGAATGGATACAGGGATGAGATACAGGGATCAGGAACTGAGCACCAGTGTCCTCTGGGGATACCTGGGAATGGATATAGGGATGAGATACAGGGATACAGGGATCAGGAACTGAGCACTGTGTCCTCTGGGGATACCTGGGAATGGATATAGGGATGAGCATCCCAGAACTGGGATCAGGAACTGAGCACCAGTGTCCTCTGGGGATACCTGGGAATGGATATAGGGATGAGATACATGGATACAGGGATCAGGAACTGGGCACCAGTGTCCTCCGGGGATACCTGGGAATGGATATAGGGATGAGCATCCCAGAACTGGGATCAGGAACTGGGCACCAGTGTCCTCCGGGGATACCTGGGATAATACAGGGATAATACAGGAATACAGGGATCAGGAACTGGGCACCAGTGTCCTCCGGGGATGCCTGGGAATGGATATAGGGATGAGATACAGGGATACAGGGATCAGGAACTGGGCACCAGTGTCCTCCGGGGATACCTGGGATGATACAGGGATGAGCATCCACAGATACAGGGATCAGGAACTGAGCACCAGTGTCCTCTGGGGATACCTGGGATACAGGGATAATATAGGAATACAGGGATCAGGAACTGGGCACCAGTGTCCTCTGGGGATACCTGGGAATGGATATAGGGATGAGATACAGGGATACAGGGATGAGCATCCCAGAACTGGGATCAGGAACTGGGCGCCAGTGTCCTCCGGGGATGCCTGGGAATGGATATAGGGATGAGATCACAGGGATACAGGGATCAGGAACTGGGCACTGCTGTTCTCTGGGGATACCTGGGAATGGATGGGATACAGGGATGATACAGGGATAATACATGAATACAGGGATCAGGAACTGGGCACCAGTGTCCTCCGGGGATACCTGGGATACAGGGATAATACAGGAATACAGGGATCAGGAACTGGGCACCAGTGTCCTCTGGGGATACCTGGGATACAGGGATGATACAGGGATGATACAGGGATAATACATGGATACAGGGATCAGGAACTGCGCACCAGTGTCCTCTTGGGGATAGCTAGGGATGATCAGGATAATATAGGAATACATGGATCAGGAACTGGGCACTGCTGTCCTCTGGGGATACCTGGGAGACAGGGATAATACAGGGATACAGGGATCAGGAACTGAGCACTGCTGTCCTCCGAGGATACCTGGGAATGGATATAGGGATGAGATACATGGATACAGGGATCAGGAACTGGGCACCAGTGTCCTCTGGGGATGCCTGGGATAATACAGGGATACAGGGATACAGGGATCAGGAACTGGGCACCAGTGTCCTCCGGGGATACCTGGGATAATACAGGGATAATACATGGATACAGGGATCAGGAACTGGGCACCAGTGTCCTCTGGGGATACCTGGGAATGGATATAGGGATGATACATGGATACAGGGATCAGGAACTGGGCACTGCTGTCCTCTGGGGATAGCTGGGATAATACAGGGATAATACAGGAATACAGGGATCAGGAACTGAGCACTGCTGTCCTCCGGGGATACCTGGGAGACAGGGATAATACAGGAATACAGGGATCAGGAACTGGGCACCAGTGTCCTCTGGGGATACCTGGGAACGGATGGGATACAGGGATAATACATAAATACAGGGATCAGGAACTGAGCACTGCTGTCCTCTGGGGATACCTGGGATACAGGGATAATATAGGAATACAGGGATCAGGAACTGGGCACTGCTGTCCTCTGGGGATACCTGGGAATGGATATAGGGATGAGATACAGGGATACAGGGATCAGGAACTGAGCACTGCTGTCCTCTGGGGATACCTGGGAATGGATATAGGGATACAGGGATACAGGGATCAGGAACTGGGCGCCAGTGTCCTCTGGGGATACCTGGGAGACAGGGATATAGGGATGAGATACATGGATACAGGGATCAGGAACTGGGCACCAGTGTCCTCTGGGGATACCTGGGAATGGATATAGGGATGAGATACACGGATACAGGGATCAGGAACTGAGCACTGCTGTCCTCTGGGGATACCTGGGAATGGATATAGGGATGAGCATCCCAGAACTGGGATCAGGAACTGGGCACCAGTGTCCTCTGGGGATACCTGGGAATGGATATAGGGATGAGATACATGGATACAGGGATCAGGAACTGGGCGCCAGTGTCCTCCGGGGATACCTGGGAATGGATATAGGGATACAGGGATGATACAGGGATAATACAGGAATACAGGGATCAGGAACTGAGCTCTGCTGTCCTCTGGGGATACCTGGGAATGGATATAGGGATACAGGGATACAGGGATCAGGAACTGGGCACCAGTGTCCTCTGGGGATACCTGGGATAATACAGGGATAATACATGGATACAGGGATCAGGAACTGAGCACTGCTGTCCTCTGGGGATACCTGGGATACAGGGATGATACATGGATACAGGGATCAGGAACTGAGCACCAGTGTCCTCTGGGGATACCTGGGAATGGATACAGGGATGAGATACAGGGATCAGGAACTGGGCACTGCTGTTCTCTGGGGATACCTGGGAATACAGGATATAGGGATACAGGGATCAGGAACTGGGCACTGCTGTTCTCTGGGGATAGCTGGGAATGGATATAGGGATGAGATACAGGGATACAGGGATCAGGAACTGAGCACTGCTGTCCTCTGGGGATACCTGGGATACAGGGATAATATAGGAATACAGGGATGAGCATCCCAGAACTGGGCACCAGTGTCCTGCTGGGACACCTGGGAAAGGATGGGACAGGACACAGGGATGAGCTTGTGCCTAGGTGTGTCCCCAGGTGTGTCCCCTCCCAGGTGTGTGTTCCAGGTGTGCCCAGCTACCCCCCAGGTGTGCCCAGGTGTGTGTGTGTCCCCCACGTGTGTCTGTACCCCCCCAGGGTGTGCTCAGGTGCCCCCCAGGTGTGCCCAGGTGTATCTGTGCCCCCCCAGGTGTGCCCAGGTGTGTCTGTGCCCCCCCAGGTGTGCCCCCCGCTCACCTGTCGATGGTCCAGCAGGGTGAGCCCCCTGACCCCGGCCAGGATGAGGTTGTGCCCAGGTGTGTCTGTGTGTCCCCCCCCAGGTGTGCCCAGGTGTGTCTGTGCCACCCCCAGGTGTGCCCAGGTGTGTCTGTGCCCCCCCAGGTGTGTCTGTGCCCCCCCAGGTGTGCCCAGGTGTATCTGTACCCCCCCAGGTGTGTCTGTGCCCCCAGGTGTGCCCAGGTGTGTCTGCACCCCCCCAGGTGTGTCTGTACCCCCAGGTGTGCCCAGGTGTGTCTGTACCCCCCCAGGTGTGTCTGTGCCCCCCCAGGTGTGTCTGTGCCCCCCCAGGTGTGTCTGTGCCCCCCCAGGTGTGTCTGTGCCCCCCCAGGTGTGCCTGTGACCCCCCAGGTGTGCCCAGGTGTGTCTGTGCCCCCCCAGGTGTGTCTGTGACCCCCCAGGTGTATCTGTGCCCCCCCAGGTGTGTCTGTGCCCCCCCAGGTGTGCCCAGGTGTGTCTGTGACCCCCCAGGTGTGTCTGCCCCCCAGGTGTGCCCCCCGCTCACCTGTCGATGGTCCAGCAGGGTGAGCCCCCTGACCCCGGCCAGGATGAGGTTTTTGGCCACCTCGGCCCCCAGCCCCCGCAGCCCCACCAGCAGCACCCGCGACGCCCGCAACCTGCAGGAAACCCCAGGAAAAGGTGGGAAATCCGGGAAAACGCCTCGGGATCGGGGAATGAACCCCCCAGAGGGGCTTCCCCCAGCTCCTACAGAGACCCTCCAGACCCCTGCAGGGCCCCCCTGAGCTCCTGCACAGACCCCCAAATCCCCACAAGGCTCCCCCACCTCCTATGGGCACACCTCAAACCCCTGCAGGGACCCCCCAGTTTCCCAAAGGGCTTCCCCACCTCCTCTGGGCACACCCTAAACCCCTATAGGGACCCCCAAATCCCTACAGAGCTCCCCCAGCTGCTATAAGAACCCTGCACACCCCTATAGGGACTCCCCCAAGCACCTATAAAGCCCTCCCCAACTCTTATAGAGACCCCTCAGACCCCTATAGAGCCCCCCCAACCCCCTATAGAGCTCCCCCAGCCCCTATAGAGCCCTCCCCAGCCCCCCATAGAGCCCCCCAGCCCCCTATAGACCCCCAGACCCTATAGAGCTCCCCTCAGCCCCTATAGAGCCCCCAAGACCCCTATAGAGCCCCCCAACCCCCTAGAACCCCCCCCAACCCCCTATAGAGCTCCTCAGCACCCATAGAGCCCCCGCAGACCCCTATAGAGCCCCCCCAATCCCCATAGAACCCCCAGCCCCCCATAAAGCCCCCCACCCCCTATAGAGCCTCCCCCCAACCCCCTATAGAGCCTCCTAGCCCTATAGGAGCCCCCCAACCCCTATAGAGCTCCCCCCAACCTCTATAGAGCCCCCCCAACTCCACTATAGAGCCCCCCCAACCACTCATAGAGAGTCTCCCCAACTCCCTACAGAGCCCCCAAGGAGCCCCCCAGACCCCTATAGAGCCTCCCAGCCCCTATAGAGCCCCCCAAACCCTTACGGAGCACCCCAGCCCCCTATAGAGCCTCCCAGCCCCTATATAGAGCCTCCCCAGCCCCTATCAGAGCCTCCCATCCCCTAGAGCTCCCCCAACCCCTATAGAGCCCCCCAGCCCCTAAGAGCCCCCCATCCCCTACAGAGCCCCTCACCCCTACAGAGCCCCCCACCCTACAGAGCTCCCCAGATCCCTACGGAGCCCCTCAGACCCCTATAGAGCCCCTACCCCTATAGAGCCTCCCAGCCCCCTATAGAGCCCCCAGACCTCTATAGAGCCCCCCCAGACCTCTATAGAGCCTCTCCAGACCCATAGAGCCCCCTAGACCCCATAGAGCCCCCAGACCCCTATAGAGCCCCCTACTCCCTATAGAGCCTCCTAGCCCTATAGAGCCTCCCCAGACCCTATAGAGCCCCCAGACCCTATAGAGCCCCCAGACCCTACAGAGCCCCCCAGACCCTATAGAGCCTCCCAGCCCCCATAGAGCCCCCCAACCCCTATAAAGCCCCCCCAAACCCCCTAGAGCCCCTCACCCCTACAGAGCCCCCCAGAACCCTATAGAGCTCCCCCAGCCCCCTATAGAGCCTCCCAGCCCCTATGAGCCTCCCAGCCCCTATAGAGCCCCCCACCCCTATGGAGCCCCCCGAACCCTATAGAGCCCCCCAGCCCCCATAGAGCCCCCCAGCCCCCATAGAGCCCCCCACTCCCTAGAGCCCCTCAGCCCTACAGAGCCCCCAGCCCCCTATAGACCCCTCGATGCCCACGGACCGTTTCTGGGCCTCGAGCCCCCAGAGGCGGATCTGCCGGTCGTACTGAGCCGCCTCCTCCTCGCTGATGCCGCCGGGGCCGGACTCGTCCTTCTCCACCATCGCCGCGGCCCCTCAGACCCTTTGAAAATCCCTCAAAGCCCCTCACAAACCCTCGAGGTCTCTCAGACCTCCCAAAGCTCCTCACGACCCCCTCAGAGCTCTTCGCGGCCCCTTAAGGTCTCTCACACCCCTCAAAGCAGCCCCTCAAGGTCTCTCAGACCCCTCACGGTCCACCAAAGCCCCTCGCAGCCCCTCGCGACCCCTTCAAAGCTCCTCCTGACCCCCTCAAAGCTCCTCACGACTGGTTAAGATCTCTCAGACGCCTCAAGATCCCTCAAAGCCCCTCACGGTCCCTCACGACTGGTTAAGGTCTCTCAGACGCCTCAAGATCCCTCAAAGCCCCTCACGACCCCCCGAAGCCCCTCACGGCCCCTCAGCCGCTCCGTGGCGCCCCCTGGCGGCCCGCGCAAAGCGCCGCGCGGCTCCCGCCGCCGCTCCACCAACCCCCGACCGGCGGCGGGGGGGGGACTCCCTCAACCCACCCCGGGTCCCCGCGACCCCTCAGGAGAAAACAACGCCCATCTTTTCCTTCTCCCGCTGTTTTACCCGGCGAGAGCACACGAGGCCGCGGCGAGGGGCTTCGGGCGCCTCCCCCGTGCGCGGCGTGGCACAGCCCGTGTTGTTACTCCCCCCTCTCAGCGCGCTCAGATGGACTCGTCCTGCCCGCTCTGTGGGCGTTCCCGCCACAGCCGTCACTTTCGGGGAACTTCGTCCATCTCCGACAACTTTCGGAAACGGTCGGGGAGCGCCTTCGTAAACAGCCAGAGGCTTACGGAAACGTTGGGAAACGTTGGGAAACGTTGGTCGAGCTTTGGAGAGTCTAGAAAACGTTCGGAGAGATTTGGGAGCGCTCGGGAAAGGCTCGCAGAGCTCCGTGGGCCGCTTCGGAAACGTTCGGAGAGCTCAGGCGGCTCTTCGGAACCGTTCGGGAAGCGCTCGGGCGTTTCCGCCCGGCCGTTCGGGCGTTTCCGGCGGGCGCCGGGGCGCTGCCTCAGGGCGGGCGCCATTTTGTGTGTCCGCCCGCGGAGCGCGGGGCGCGGGCGGAGGAGCCGCCGGGCCGAGCCCCCCGCGCCGTTCAGTGACTGTGCCCCTCGTTCTCCACCCCCCCGCCCGTTGCCCATGGCCGTGGAGAGCTCGAGTGTCCCCTGCCGCCGCCGCCTCCCCCAGCCCGCACTGCACCCCCTTCTCCGTCCTGCCACGGCAGCTGCAGCCTCCCTGGCCGCCGCCGCTGCTCCAGCACGGCCCGGACGAAAGGTCCAGTAACCGCCTCTCCCGAGCGGCCGCTCTCTGTGTGCCTGGGGTCGGTCCGGCGCGCCGGACCAGGTTTGGGGAGGGGCGGCGGGGGTTGCTGGGGGAAAGGGGGAAAAGGGAGGTGGGGGAGGAAGGTGGGGAGGGGTCGGAGGGGGGTGAGGAGGAGGAAGGTGAGGAAGGGCCTGAGGGGGTCTGAGGAAGAGGAGGAAGGGCCTGAGAGGGAACGGGGGTCTGAGGAGGAAGGGCCTGAGGGGATTGGGAGGGGGATTTGGAGGAGGAGGAAGGTGAGGAAGGGCCTGAGGGGGATTGGGGAGGGGGCTCTGAGGAGGAAAAGGAGGAGGAGAAAGGTGAGGAAGGGTCTGAGGAGAAGGAGGAAGGGCCTGAGGGGGATTTGGGGAGGGGGCGGCTCTGAGGAGGAGGAAGGTGAGGAAGAACCAGAGGGGGATTTTGGGGGGGTTCATTCCCTGAGGAGGAGGAAGGACCAGAGAGGGATTTTGGGGGGTTCATTCCCTGAGGAGGAGGAAGGTGAGGAAGGACCAGAGGAGGATTTTGGGGGTTCATTCCTGAGGAGGAGGAAGGTGAGGAAGGACCAGAGAGGGATTTTGGGGGTTCATTCTCTGAGGAGGAGGAAGGTGAGGAAGGACCAGAGGAGGATTTTGGGGGGTTCATTCTCTGAGGAGGAGGAAGGTGAGGAAGGAGGGTTTTAATTCTTTAGGGGGTTCTAGGGGCTCGAGGAGGAAAGGGGGGTTCTGTTGTGGGGGGAGGGCCTGGGGGCCCTGAGGAGGAGGAGGAGGGGGGATCCATTTTGGAGGGGAGGGTCGGGCTGTGCAGGCCCTGGGAGGGGTTTTGGGGAGGGGGAGAACAGGAATGAGGGGCTGGGGGGCTCTAGAGGCTTCTTTTTTGGGGTCCAGTTTTCTTTCAGGGGCTTTAGACCCTGGTTTTGGGGGGCTTAGCTCATTTTTGAGGGTTTAGCCCTCTTGGGGTGGGGGTAGCCCTCTTTGGGGGCTTTAGGCCTCTTTGGGGAATTTAGCTGCTTTTTGGGGGCTTAGCTCTTTTGGGGGCTTTGGTTGTTGGGGGGGTTTAGCCTTCTATTTTTAGCTCCTTTTTTGGGGTGGATTCAGCTCCTTTTTGGGGAAGTTTAGCTCGACTTTTGGGGGGGTTAGTTCCATTTTTGGAGGGGCTGTAGATGTTGAGGGGTTTAACTCTTCTTTTTTGGGGGGTTGTGTCCTTAATAATCCCTTTAATGCCCTTATTCCCTCAGTAATATTCAGTTTATCTCCTTAAATCCTCCCCCAAAGTGGGAGCAGGAAGTTTGGGGGAGGCTTTGAGTTGTGACAGGTTCCCCCCCCAGTGCTCAAAATGTTCAAAAATACCCCTATCTGCCAAAAAAAAATTCCTTTTTCCAAGTTTTTCTGGCCCCTCCCTGCCGTAGCTTGGAGCCATTTCCCATATTCCCATTTATTTTTCTGTAGTTAAAACCAAATAGTGGGAAAAAAGCAGGAAAAAAAGGTAAATTCAGGGAGGTTTTTGGGGCTATTCCTGATAAAAAAAGGTCAATCCAGGGAGATTTGAGGGGTTTTCCTTAAAAAAGGTTAATTCAGGGAGGTTTTTGGGTCTATTCCTGATAAAAAAAGGTCAATCCAGGGAGATTTGAGGAGTTTTCCTTAAAAAAGGTCAATCCAGGAAGGTTTTGGGTCTATTCCTGGTAAAAAAGGTCAATCCAGGGAGATTTGAGGGGTTTTCCTTAAAAAAAAGGTCAATCCAAGGGAAGGTTTAGGGGATTTTCCTTAAAAAAGGTTAATTCAGGGAGGTTTGGGGTTGTTCCTGATTAGAAAAGTAAATCCAGGGAGGTTTTTTTTGGGCGGGGTTTCCTTGAAAAAAGGTCAATCCAGGAAGGTTTGGGGAGGTTTTCCTTAAAAATGGTCGATGCAGGGGGGTTTCTGGGGGCTATTCCTGATAAAAAAGGTTGATTCAGGGGGGTTTTGGGGGCTATTCCTGATAAAAAAGGTCGATTCAGGGGGGATTTGGGGGCTATTCCTGATAAAAAAGGTCGATTCAGGGGGGGTTTTGGGGGGTTCATCCCTGGCAAACCAAGGCGAATCCAGGGAATTCTGGGGGAGGTGGTGGGAAAGAGGAATTTGGAGTGATGAAATGCCATTTTTCCTGCCTTTTCCCCCCCTTCTCTGGTCCCTCCCACGTCATTCCCGAGCTGTGTCTGTGTAACCTGTGTAAACTCCGTAAACAGTGAGTTGATCCGTGTGTGTGTCCAAAGCAAGCAGAATTATCCCAAAAAAAAACCCCAAAAAGTGACAAAAAGCACACAATTTTCTCTCTCTCCCCTCAAAAAAAACCTTAAAGTTTCCAGCCCTGGAATTCCCACCCCAGAGGGGCAGGTTTTTCTTGGAAAAAACAAAAACAAACAAACAAAAAAAAGGTAAAAAAAACCAACAAAAAGGTGGAAAAGTTGGTGGAAATCAGTGGAAAAAAAAGTGTGAAAACCACAAAAAAAAAAGAAATCAATCACCCCCCTCAGGTGGTAAAAAGCACCTCAGTGACCCCACACATCCCTTTTCCTGCCCCCTTTTCCCGAATATTCCCAAGGATTCCCAAGCTCACACAACAGGGATTCACCCCCCCCTTTTCCCAGCGGAATAATTGGAATTTTGGGGTGGTTTTGACCTCCCCCCACCCCCCCTTAAACACACACGTTTTTTTTCCCTCTGGTTTTAAGCACAAATCCAGGTTTTTTGGGGCCTTCCCTGCTTTTATTCCCCAAAATCCAGGCAGGAAAAGGAAAAGGTCGGGGCAGGTGATGCAAACCTTGATTAGAGAGGCCTCCTTAGGGCTTTGATTGTTCCCACAGGGATTTTTTTCCCCACACAAATCAACTTTGAGGACCTTTTTCCTGCTGGTTTTTTTTCCACCCCAAAAATTCCCAAACTTGGTTTTTGGTTTTGTTTTTTTTTTTTCTTCTTTTTTTTTTTTTTTCTGATCCAAATTCAGAGCTCAAAGTTTGAGAATTCGATGGTTTATCCTATTTTTTTTTATTATTATTTGGAGGGGAGTGGGACTCACAGCGTGAATTCCACCCCAAAATTCCGTGGGAAATTGTGGAATTAATCCCTTTGTTTTGTTGATTTTTTTTCCTGAATTTTCCTGTTCTTGCCTCGTGCTTCCTCTGGAAAAATCCAAACTGGTTGTGGTTTATGGGCCCCAGCGAGTCCTGAGCTGCCTCAAAATGGGTTGGAAATGGTAAAAAAAAAAGGGGGAAAATAGGAAAAAAAGAAGGAAAAATTAAAAAAGGGAAGGGTGAAAAACAAGGTGAAAAATGGGAAAAGGAAAGTGGTTGGAAAGAAGAGGAAAGCAGGAAAAGCAAAGGTCAAGGAAAAAGAGGGAAAACAGGAGAAAAAGGAAATTATTCAAATTTAGGAGGAGAAAAAGAGGGAAAATGGGGAAAAAAAAAGGGCCAAAAATAGAGGGAACAACAAAAAGGGAAACCATTCCTGGGGAAATTTTGGGATTATTTTGTCCCTTTTTGAGGGCTGGAAAAACCAGGAAAGGAGTTCCCAGGATTTTCAGGGATCGGGCTTTGTGTTTTTAAGGAATTCTTGAGGAATTCCATGGAATTTTTTGGTGGTGTCCAGTTAAATGTTGGGAGTTAAACTCCCTTTTTGGGGCTTTTTTTTCGGGATTTGCTGCCCCTGCCCTGGTCTTTAACTTGGGTCCAACCCCTCCAACATTCCTGTATGACCTTTTCCATCCTGGAAAATGTGGATACCTGGAATCCTGGAGCCATTTGGGGTCACCCTAGCAGGAATTCCCTTTTCCAGGATTTTTTCCTCTAAAGGTTTTTCTTTGGCTCCTGGGGCTGGAGCGAGGGAGGTGAATCCCAAATCCCATTGAATTTCTCAGCTGGGAAAACCTCTGGATTTTTGCCCTGAGTTTGGCAATTCCCAAAAAAATAACTCCTGGAATTACAGCTCCAGGAAGTCCAAAAATGGGAGATTTGCCCCAATTCCAGCCGGGAATGACCTCGCTGGGAATCTTTGGGAATTAATCTGACAAAAAGGGGAGGAGTAAGGAGCAAAACACCCAAAACTGGGTGAAAATCTGGGATAAAATTTCCAAGGAAATGTTGGATACAGGCTGGAGGTTCTTCCCTTTGGAATAAACCCAGGGAGGAGCTGAATCCTTTGGGAATATCCTGGAATAATCAGGGATTTGAGGCGGCAGGATCCAACTTCAGGTGGGAACTCAAAACCTGATTTTCCCTGGAAAAAAAGGTGAGAAATGTGGAAAACCACCCTGTTCTGCCTAAAAAAACCCTGGAATTCCATCCCAGGCTGCACAGCCGGAGGGATCCAGGCTCAAATCCCACCTGGAAAAGGCTTGGGAAGCACCAGGACATTCCCTTCTCCCCCTGAAACACCCTCTGGAGGATCCCTAAATTCCAGTTCCTCAGTTAGAATTCCCACATTCCCACTGATTTTCACCCCAATCCTAAAACTCTTCTTTCCCTCCCGACTCATCCAGGTGATTTTGGGTTCAAAATCCCTTTTTCCTTGATTTTTCCCTGATTTTTCCTTGTTTTCATTTACTGCCTGACTCCCCTCCCTCTTTCTCCACATTCCCAAATCCCTAAAAACCCTTGGAATTGCTTTTAAACGCAATGAATTTCCTCCAAAGCCCAGGAATTTGGGGTATTTTGGCCCCCCCAGCCTCGTGCTTGGAATTCCTGCAGGTTAATCCCGGGATTTGTGCCCTGGGAACAGGGAGTTTTCCGGCAGATCCAGTGGGAAATCCAGGGTTTTTTCTGTTGGAATGTCGTGTCAGGAGCTCCCTGTGGGCTCAGGGATGGGCAATTCCCGGGTTTTTTCCAGAGGGTCGGAGCCACCGGGAATTGGGGAAGCCACCAGGAAATTTGGGAGATCCCCAGGAATTTGGGAGATCACCAGGAATTTAGGGAGATCCCTAGGAATTTGGGAGATCATCAGGAATTTGGGAAGCCACCAGGAATTTGGGTTGTTGCCAGGAATTTGGGAGATCACCAGGAGTTTGGGTTATTGCCAGGAATTTGGGAGATCACCAGGAATTTGGGAGATCACCAGGAATTTGGGGAGATCACCAGGAATTTGGGAGATCACCAGGAATTTGGGAGATCACCGGGAATTTGGGGAGATCACCAGGAATTTGGGAGATCCCCAGGAGTTTGGGTTATTGCCAGGAATTTGGGAGATCACCAGGAATTTGGGGAGATCCCCAAGAATTTGGGAGATCCCCAGGAGTTTGGGTTATTGCCAGGAATTTGGGAGATCAGCAGGAATTTGGGAGGTCAGCAGGAATTGGGGAAGCCACCAGGAATTTGGGGAGGTCCCCAGGAATTGGGGAGATCCCTAGGAATTTGGGTTTTTGCCAGGAACTTGGGGAGATCCCCAGGAATTTGGGAAGCCACCAGGAATTTGGGTTGTTCCCAGGAATTGGGGAGATCACTGGGAGTTTTGGGAGATCACCGGGAATTTGGGAGATCAGCAGGAATTGGGAGATCACCAGGAATTTGGGGAGATCAGCAGGAATTGGGAAGCCACCAGGAATTTGGGTTGTTGCCAGGAATTGGGGAGATCCCCAGGAATTTGGGAGATCACCGGGAGTTTTGGGAAGCCACCAGGAATTTGGGGAGATCACCAGGAATTTGGGAGGTCCCCAGGAATTTGGGAAGCCACCAGGAACGTGGGGAGATGATCAGGAAGTCAGCAGGAACTTGGGAAGCCACCAGGAATTTGGGGAGATCACCAGGAATGGGGGTTATCACCAGGAATTTGGGGAAATCATCAGGAACTCAGGAAACCACCAGGAATTGGTGTTACCCCCAGGAATTTGGGAGCTCACCAGGAATTTCGGGAACGCTCCGGGAGCGCAACCAGGACGTTTTATCCCCGTTTTTTCCCCCAACTTCACAAGGATTCAACATTCCCATTGTTTTTATTTTTCCAGGGAGGATGGGGAGCTGGAGGAGGGGGAGCTGGAGGACGATGGGGGGGAGGAGGATCATTCCCAATCCCAGGAAAGAGGCCGGAAGGAGAAGGGGGAGAAGCACCACAGCGACTCGGACGAGGAGAAATCCCACCGCAGGATGAAGAGGAAGCGCCGGAAAGAGAAGGAGAAAAGGAGATCCAAGAAAAAACGCAAATCCAAGCACAAGGTGAGGCCTCTTCCCGGCTGGAATTCTACAGGGAATCCCTCCTTGGGTCTTGCTTGGAGAGAGTTGAGGCTCTTCCCTGCGGAGATCCCTTGGAATTCTGCCTCTCTATGGAGTGGCAGAGTCTCAAATCCCGTTTTTTTGAGGAGGAAAAGAGGCTTTTCCTCAGGGAATTCCTTCCAAGGTGGTGGAATGTGGACCAGCAGATTCCCAAAATCCAGGCTGGGCGCTCCTCAGATCCCAGGAATCCCTGGAGCCGCCTCCTGGGATCCCTGGAAAATCCCCCCGGGGTTGGAGTTGGGTCCCATAACCCCCCAAAACCCGAGGCCCGGAGGTTTTTCCGGGAAAATTCGGGAACAAAGGGCTGAAGGGAGGCTGGGGGGTGAATTCCAGAGGCTGGGGGGTGAATTCCAGAGGTTGGGAAGCGGCAGGAGGGGGTGTGGGCTGAGTTTTCCGGGCGTTCTCAGCGGCACGCCTCGTCCAGCGATCGACTTCTCCGACTCAGCGACGACTCGAATACAGCCCGGCCGAGAAGGGACACCGCAAGTGCGGGACTACAGCCCCCCCTACTCCGTGAGTTACTGGGAATACTGGGAGTGCTGGGAGTGCTGGGAGTGGGGATACAGCCCCCACCTGCTGTGGGAGTCACTGGGAATGCTGGGAATGGGAATACAGCCCGGCCGAGAAGGGACACCGCAAGTACCGGGACTACAGCCCCCCCTACTCCGTGAGTTACTGGGAATACCGGGAATATTGGGAATGCTGGGAGTGCTGGGAGTGGGGAAACAGCCCCTACCTGCTGTGGGAGTCACTGGGAATGCTGGGAATGGGAAAACAGCCCCCTCCCTACTCTGGGAGTCGCTGGGAATGCTGGGAGCGGGAAAACAGCCCCCCCCCCTACTCTGGGAGTCACTGGGAATACTGGGAATGGGAATACAGTTCCCCTCCCCCTCCCCGTTCTGGCAGTTATTGGGAATATTTGGAATGGGAATACAGGCCCCCTGTTCTGGCAGTTATTGGGAACACTGGGAATTCAGCCCTTCCTGCTCCTCTGGGGCTACCTGGGAATAACTGGCATAGCTGGGACTCCCTGGGAATTCCAGGAATAGGCTCCTCTCTATCCTGGGACTCCGTGGGAATTCCAGGAATAGGCTCCTCTCTATCCTGGGAGTCACTGGGAATTCCAGGAATAGGCTCTTCCCGGCTCGAGGAGTCACTGGGAATACCGGGAGCAGACCCTTCCCTATTCCAGGAATGGCTGGGATTCCTGGGAATGCCTGGAATGGGGGCCCCAGCCCAGGTGCCAAGGCCTTTGCCCTCTCCCAGTGCCACCAGTACTCCCAGTGCTGTCCTTTGTCCCCTCCCAGTTCCCCCCAGTACTCCCAGTGCCCCAAGAAGGGCTATTCCCAGTGCCACCAGTACTCCCAGTGCCCCAAGAAGGGCTGTCCTTTGTCCCCTCCCAGTGCCCCCAGTACTCCCAGTGCTGTCCTTTGTCCCCTCCCAGTTCCCCCCAGTACTCCCAGTGCCCCAAGAAGGGCTATTCCCAGTGCCACCAGTACTCCCAGTGCCCCAAGAAGGGCAATTCCAGGGGTGATTCCCAGTCCTTTCCCCGCTCCCAGTGCCACCAGTACTCCCAGTGCCCCAAGAAGGGCTGTCCTTTGTCCCCTCCCAGTGCCACCAGTACTCCCAGTGCCCCAAGAAGGGCTATTCTTTGCCCCCTCCCAGTGCCACCAGTACTCCCAGTGCCCCAAGAAGGGCTGTCCTTTGTCCCCTCCCAGTGCCACCAGTACTCCCAGTGCCCCAAGAAGGGCTGTCCTTTGTCCCCTCCCAGTGCCCCCAGTACTCCCAGTGCCCCAAGAAGGGCTATTCCAAGGGTGATTCCCAGTCCTTTGTCCCCTCCCAGTGCCACCAGTACTCCCAGTGCCCCAAGAAGGGCAATTCCAAGGGTGATTCCCAGTCCTTTGTCCCCTCCCAGTGCCACCAGTACTCCCAGTGCCCCAAGAAGGGCTATTCCAAGGAGTGATTCCAGTCCTTTCCCTGCTCCCAGTGCCCCAGTACTCCCAGTGCCCCAAGAAGGGCTGTCCTTTGTCCCCTCCCAGTGCCACCAGTACTCCCAGTGCCCCAAGAAGGGCAATTCCAAGGGTGATTCCCAGTCCTTTCCCTGCTCCCAGTGCCCCCAGTACTCCCAGTGCCCCAAGAAGGGCTGTCCTTTGTCCCCTCCCAGTGCCACCAGTACTCCCAGTGCCCCAAGAAGGGCTGTCCTTTGTCCCCTCCCAGTGCCCCCAGTACTCCCAGTGCCCCAAGAAGGGCTATTCCAAGGGTGATTCCCAGTCCTTTGTCCCCTCCCAGTGCCACCAGTACTTCCCAGTGCCCCAAGAAGGGCAATTCCAAGGGTGATTCCCAGTCCTTTGTCCCCTCCCAGTGCCACCAGTACTCCCAGTGCCCCAAGAAGGGCTGTCCTTTGTCTCCTCCCAGTGCCACCAGTACTCCCAGTGCCCCAAGAAGGGCTGTCCTTTGTCTCCTCCCAGTGCCACCAGTACTCCCAGTGCCCCAAGAAGGGCAATTCCAAGGGTGATTCCCAGTCCTTTGTCCCCTCCCAGTGCCACCAGTACTCCCAGTGCCCCAAGAAGGGCTGTCCTTTGTCCCCTCCCAGTGCCCCAAGAAGGGCAATTCCAGGGGTGATTCCCAGTCCTTTCCCCGCTCCCAGTGCCACCAGTACTCCCAGTGCCCCAAGAAGGGCTGTCCTTTGTCCCCTCCCAGTGCCACCAGTACTCCCAGTGCCCCAAGAAGGGCTGTCCTTTGTCCCCTCCCAGTGCCACCAGTACTCCCAGTGCCCCAAGAAGGGCTGTCCTTTGTCCCCTCCCAGTGCCACCAGTACTCCCAGTGCCCCAAGAAGGGCTGTCCTTTGTCCCCTCCCAGTGCCACCAGTACTCCCAGTGCCCCAAGAAGGGCTGTCCTTTGTCCCCTCCCAGTGCCACTCAGTACTCCCAGTGCCCCAAGAAGGGCTGTCCTTTGTCCCCTCCCAGTGCCACCAGTACTCCCAGTGCCCCAAGAAGGGCTGTCCTTTGTCCCCTCCCAGTGCCACCAGTACTCCCAGTGCCCCAAGAAGGGCTGTCCTTTGTCCCCTCCCAGTGCCACCAGTACTCCCAGTGCCCCAAGAAGGGCTGTCCTTTGTCCCCTCCCAGTGCCACCAGTACTCCCAGTGCCCCAAGAAGGGCTATTCCAGGGGTGATTCCCAGTCCTTTCCCCGCTCCCAGTGCCACCAGTACTCCCAGTGCCCCAAGAAGGGCTGTCCTTTGTCCCCTCCCAGTGCCACCAGTACTCCCAGTGCCCCAAGAAGGGCTGTCCTTGTCCCCTCCCAGTGCCACCAGTACTCCCAGTGCCCCAAGAGGGCTATTCCAAGGCGACTCAAGAGCTACGGCCCCTGCGGGGAGTTCGAGGCCGAGGAGTTCGGGGGCTACGAGGGTGAGGAGGACGAGGAGCCCCCCAAGGACGACTACGACGACTTCTCCAAGGAGCTCAACCAGTACCGGCGCTCCAAGGACGGGGCCCACCGAGCCAGAGGTACCGGGAATGCCGGGAAAACACCAAAATACACAAAAAACACGAAAATTTAAAAAAAAACACTAAAAAAAGGCCCCAAAATACACAAAAAACGCCAAAAAAAACCCCAAAAAATCTAAAAATCCCCCCAAAAAACCAGCCCTACAGGCGCCGGAGTTCCACTCAAAAATGGGAGCACCTGGGAAAACCCAAGAAACTCTATAAAAAAAAAAACAACAAGAAATGGCCCCAAAAGCGCCAGAATTCCACTCAAAAATGGGAGCACCTGGGAAAACCCCAAGGAACTCCATAAAAAAAAAAACAAGAAATGGTCCCAAAAGTGCTAGAATTCCACTCAAAAATGGGAGCACCTGGGAAAACCCCAAGAAACTCCATAAAAAAACCCCAAGAAATGGCCCCAAAAGCGCCAGAATTCCGCTCAAAAATGGGAGTACCTGGGAAAACCCCAAAAAAACCAAGAAACCCCATAAAAAAAAAGAAAACAAGAAATGGCACCAAAAGTGCCAGAATTCTGCTCAAAAATGGGAGCACCTGGGAAAACCCCAAAAAAACCAAGAAACCCCATAAAAAAAAAAAAAAACCAAGAAATGGCCCCAAAAGCGCCAGAATTCCGCTCAAAAATGGGAGCACCTGGGAAAACCCCAAGAAACTCCATAAAAAAAAAACCCCAAGAAATGGCACCAAAAGCACCAGAATTCCGCTCAAAAATGGGAGCACCTGGGAAAACCCCAAGGAACTCCATAAAAAAAAAACAAGAAATGGTCCCAAAAGTGCTAGAATTCCACTCAAAAATGGGAGCACCTGGGAAAACCCCAAGAAACTCCATAAAAAAAAAACCCCAAGAAATGGCCCCAAAAGCGCCAGAATTCCGCTCAAAAATGGGAGCACCTGGGAAAACCCCAAGGAACTCCATAAAAAAAAAACAACCAAGAAACAGCCCCAAAAGCGCCAGAATTCTGCTCAAAAATGGGAGCATCCGGAAGAACCCCCAAAAAAACCCCCCAAAAACGGCCCTTAAACCAAAAAACCCCCCAAAAACGGCCCTTAAAGTGCTGGAATTCCACTCAAAAACGGGAGCACCTGGAAAACCCCCCAAAAAACCCCAAAACACCCCTTACAAAAAAAAAAAAAAAACAAAGCCCTCAAAAAAAGAAAAACCCCTCAAAAATCCCCCCAAAAAACCAACCCCCCCAAAAAACCAGCCCTGAAAGCACCTGAATTTCATCTAATGTCCTAGTCAGAAAACCTCCTGAAAAAACCCAGAAAAATCCAATTTTTAGTGTCTTAACTCCAAAATCCTCTTCAAAAAAATCCCAGAAAAAACCCCAGATTTTAGCATTTTAACACAAAACGTCCTTAAAAAAATCCCAGAGAAAACCCATTTTTTATGTCTTAACTTTCAGAAATCTTAAAAAAATCCCATAAAAATCCCATTTTAATGCAACTCGAATC